AAACTGAATAATAATATGTAGTAAAAACAAGGGAAAGCAAAAGTTACATCTTTTGTTCTTGTTTTGTTCTTGCTTTTTGGACAGATTGAGTAAGCTCGAAACGTAAACTGAAACATGATTTTCTTGAGAAAGCACCTGTCCTTACACCGTGGCATTATTAGTTACAGTGCGGCGCTAAACTCGCTTGCGACTATTAAATACTCACTGATGCTCTTTGAAATGTCGTTGTGGGTTAAACTTTTCTTGCGGTTTCAAGTCAGACAGCAAAGCTGAAAAGAACGCCCTAGAGCTAAGGAGCCATATTATGATGCTGGCGCTAGCGTTGAGTGGTTGCTGCGTTATTTAGAGACTGAGCAATCTGTGACGTCATGATTTACGCTGGTTGAATGATAATTGAGCTGGACCAACAGGCTTGCACCTTGATGTGGTCAGACTGACTTTTGCTGTTATAGCATAACTTGTGTGGGGAATTACCGACGCATTTGTCAAGTTCACAAAATTCAATCATCTTTTTCAGATTCCTGAGGTTATGCATAGCTAATAAATAAACGTGAAGAAAAGTCTGGGGTTTTTTAACGTTGCCTCGGTAAGAATTTTCTTCTGGCCGCTGTACGGCCATGACCGCGTTGCACAAACTGAATGCACAATAAGATTCTCCAGTGAAGGAGAACAATAGGAGATAGTTAGTCACATCTTATATGTCCACACCTCCCCTCCCTCCAACAACGGCAACAACAAAAATAACAGACCTGTTATGCATCCAGAATTAACTTCTTGAAAGAGTAATATCTCTTAGCTTATCAGATTAACGATATATTTATTTTAATCGCTGTAATATAATATATATAGCTAGCATAGAAAAATAGATGAGAGTACTTTGTACATCATTATGACAACAAAGGTTTGATTACGTCTAAACGAACAATTTAGAGAAAATGAGGGCATTGAGTGTGAAACAAAGGGGTTGCACCATTGGTAGGCAGCAACATAGCGACACCTGACACTCTCGGTTTTCTCGGTTTAACTTCTTACTTCACTTTGCGTCTCTAAGTTCAGTGCAATGGGTTCTTTTCTTCTTACAGTTTGTGACTCATTTTTCACACGTGACAGTGTAATGACTTAGCCAGGAGTGAGTTGATGCAGTCATGTTAACGGTCCATGTAATACATTTTGAAGATGGATTTAACTTATGCTGTGTCAGTGATTGCTATGATTCCGCGACTGTGATTAGACCGCATACACAAAACAGTCCACACGTAATACCGTGCTAATGCCATGTAGTATTCAATAACAACTTTTGATTTACAAGACGTAGCGTGAAACTACAGCAAGAACACCAAGAAGTGCAATGGTAAAAGTCTCGTATCCCAGGCGTCCCGCCATGGATGGATTACACGGGTCCATGGTGTAGTTGTTACAAAGGTCCTGGTCGGAACAGCAGAGGACGCAGTGTTTCGTGATACCATCTGGGCCTTTTGTCGTGAATGTGGTGTTGAATTTCAAGCACTCCGAGGCGCAGTATCGGACGTATTGATGATTAGATGTATTACCATCAGGTGACGGTGGTTCCGTCTTGGCAACCGCGCAGACAGTCTCGCCGCTTTCGCAACTTCTTGTGCCGACTCCATCTAGTGATTCTGGAATGCAAAAGCTGTCATCTCTTGAGTTGCAGTAATAGCAAGTCGCAGCACCTGAAACGAAACAAATTGACATTTTCCACAACCCTTTATTCTTTGACCATTTAGTATAGTCCGTCATGAAACGATCCAAGTTCGACCGCTCCCGTAAATGGTCTTTATGCCAGTAGACAGACAGATCAGCTCGATAAAAGGAATGTGCGTGCCCGCTCATGGAGATTTGCCCACCGAACAGAAATTGACTGGTACCATTAAGTAGTTGATAAAAACATGTGCGTTGATTCTGAACTAGAAATTTGGCTGAGTTGACTTGTTCGTCCTTGTAGAACAGTCTTCATTGCGTTCATGTTTGGATGTGACTCCATACCGTATAACCGCTTTCCCTGAGCTCTAGTGACTGTTAGATTATTCTTGAATTGGTCACAAGAAAAGAGCCATCCTAGTGAACCATGCAATTCGCTGAATGCGAAAAAGAGTCACACTGATCACTAAGCTTGTTTGACTTGTTTGCCTGAAATTGCTAACGTAGCTACTGGACAATGTCGATCAAAGTGCCCAGTTAATACAAAGCCAACTACAGTAATAATAATAATAATAATAATAATAATAATAATGATGATGATGATGAT